GTCTTTTATGGAAAAAGAAAACTATTTTTATTTTCTTTGTGATGATTGTTTAGCAGTCCAGGGCGGCCATAATTCCTCCTAAATGTATTGCGACAGCCAATAGCTGACACACTGCTTTGATAGCCAGGCCCTCCAAGAAAGCTGTAATTCAAAAACCAGTTGACAAGATTACTGCGTAACAAAAATATTTGAGGAAAAGAGTTAAGATCGTTTTAATAAATGGAAATGACACACCATCGCTGGTCTCCAGGGGCCCTGCTTTTGTCTGACAGTGGAAGCTGCCAGTTGTCCCTTCCTCGGAGGCTGGAATCAGAGAGGGGCTCTGGAAAAGAGCAGCGTTGATGCCTGAACTGTTGCCTCCTTTGGGTCATTTCCTGGCTGCTTACGAAAGGGCTCTCTTCGGGCCCCCAGACCATGAATGATGAGCAAGTGCAAGGAATTTCTTTCTCTACATTAAGATTAAGCCTTAGCAGTTCCTTAAATGAAAGAAGCAATTTTTTATAACTTGCACATAGTCTCCCTGATTCTTCGGGGAATTTCCGATGTTAATTTATGCACTGTTAAATGTATGCAGTGTGGAATTTCAGCCCAACAGCAGCTGCTTACAGAACCGAGACAGAGATTACAGGAGGATCTGTGAGGTGGACGCTGAATGGCACAGACCCTACCAGGCCTCGGGATCCCTCCTCCCGGAGGCCCTTGGGTCAGGGTGGTCGCAGGTTTCGTTGCCCTGCTGTGATAGAGTAACAACTTGGAATGTTTCCACTGATTTCATCCTCCTAAAATTCAACTTGACATTGTGTTCGTTAATGTCTGTGACAGAAGGGAGGCATTTCGTACCCACCTCCACCGCCCTTTGGTGGCAACTGACTGCAGTTTGACAACATAGCGTGTGTAGACCAGCCCTGGAAGACACAGGTTTTGTATCTTCAAAGAGTCACTGACTCAGCCGAACTGCATGCTCTGTCTTTGAGGGTTTGAACTTTAAAGCATGTATCAGAGTATTTTGTGAATGTGTTTACTTCTCTGTGTCTTACATTTTTTCGAAAGTGTTCTTTTAGTGTCTTTATGTTAGACTGGCCCATTGATCTTCCCACCAGCCAGGACCCAGCTTGTCCCTCTTAAAGGGAGTCTGACATTCTTACCATTGCCTGCACTGGCTGAAAAGTTACCCTTCTGCATTCGGTTGAGGTCTCAGGGAGAAGAATAGTTGTAAAACGATCCCGTAGTCTCCAGAATAGTGCTAACTGTTGCTTTAATTATGTTGAAGGTCACTGTAGATTATTTTGCAACAGTTGAAAAGAGGTAATTGTGTTAAATAAGAAAACTTTCGTGGCCAAAAGCTTTTCTAAAAGAAAGGGTTTATCGAGCCAGATGCTCGCCAGAGAAGGGCCTGCTCTCTGGCGCGAAGGCTAAACCGCAGCAGCCCGGCCCTGTGGGAAAGACACAGGTCCCCGCCTGGAGTCGATGGGCTGCTTTATGAACACTGTGTTTTGGGGAAGAAAGGTGTAATTTGTTTTGAAAGAATTTACACGGCTGCAGATAAGGGGGCGGGAGAAGATGCAGTGCGTCAGTGCACAGTCCGTAAAGAAGAACCATTTACCACTTCTGGTGGGTCGCGGCGACATTGCGGAGGTTCCCACCTGTGCGGGGAGAGGGGTGTCTGCTGGTCGCTAGAGCAGTTGACTCGAAGCTCCAGCTTCGTCAGGAATGTGCGCAGTCTGTTGTTAGTTGACCCACAGCTATCAGCCGGTGGAACATGGTTGGCTCCCAGCCCCCTGTAATTAAGCGTAGGCCAGGTCAGAACTTTTCTCCTGTCGATTATCTCATGGCTCTTGCTGTAACCACAAGATCCAAGCCGTGGAGCGAGGCACAGCCGTGTAATCTTGACCAGGCAGCTGAGAGCTTGACGTTCCCGCTGGTATGTTGAAGAAAGTAGGGAGTGGCATGCAAAGTGGCATCGCACATGAAGTCACCATTTTTATTAATAACTAAACACCTTTAGATGGGCTTAGTGCAGATCGCTCTATGCTGACTTCCGTTTTGTATTAATAAATAATGTTGTGGCGAGGTTGTGTATATAGCTGGAATTTATAGTTTCCAGTCCCCATGGTTGGAGAGACTTGCCCAGAGATCAAGCTGCAAGAGGACGAGGCGAGGCTACATGAGAGGCGAGGACGCTGTGACATTGCCTGGTCTGATTCTTCATGGTAGATGCTCAAGTTTTCATTTTCCCAGCAAACAGAGCTCACGTGAATGACAGGGTCGGAGAGAAGCCTCCTGTTCCCATGCCAGTTCTGCAACACAAGCCTCTGCTGAGCTGTCTGTCCTCTGCTCGATTTCCCCCCGCCCCCCGCCCCCCCCCCCCCCCCCCCCGTTTCCCCAGCTACATCTGGCTTTTCTAATTTACTTCCTCCTCGACCGTTTCTGTCTGCGTTCTCTCTGAACTGGCTCGCTGGCTTTTGTATTTATTCTCCTTTTGTACCCTATGGACGTGGACGTCCTAGAAGCCTATCATCATGGATCCCTTAAGGATAATCTGTCCTGTACATCTATGACCCGACGTGGTTATTTGTCCTTCCACTCTTTCTGTTCTGCCCCTTATTTCAATCTTTTTTCCTTCATCTTTGACCTCTGATCTTTATGTCCAAAGACCTTTGACCTCTTTTCCCAAGCTTGCAACTTCCTTTTAGACATTTCCATCCGGGATGTTTCACTGTCATACCAGACTCACAAACCCCAAATTTAAGTCATATTCCTCATTTGCAACATGCCTCCTCTCACTGACTTCCCTTTGTCTCTTGGTGACACCACCATCCTCTCTGTCACTGAGGAGCCTCCCTGCACCACACCGCCCCCGCCCCCCGGCCCCCGCCCCCTTAGTCTCACCATCTCTTTCTCCCTGTGTTTCTCTGGCTCCATTGATTTCCCATCCCGCCCTTGCTTGGTTTCTAATCTGCCTCCCCCTGGTCTTTCTGCCTCCAGACTGTCCTCCGTTGGATCCATTATGTCAGGATCCATGGGTGTCAGGATAGCCGTCCTAAATGACGTTCTCCTATTTAAAGACATGTTGGACTCCCAAGTTTTTCAGGGGCCGACAGGAAGCATCCTCAGCCTGGCATGCACCCGGGCCCGTCTTGCAGCTTTTTGCTATATCCCGAGTGCCCGCCCTTTCCTGGAGCCGGGCTCGTCCCTTTCCTCCGCCCTCCATGTGTACTGGGTTTGTTCCCCGCTCCGAATCTTTGCGGCTGACTCCCAGCCTCGCCTGTCTCCAACCCTAGGCTAGACCTTTTGTGTATGTCCTATCCATAGTGAAAGATCATTGAGGAGCCTTTTCTGGTCAGTCTAGCTGCAGACTTACCCTCTTCTGAACTAGGCAGAGCCACTTCTTTTCTGAAAGAGGATGTAAGAAACTGGGGAACGGGAGGAAGGAAAAAATTACATTTGACTATATTCTTTTGTTCTTGAATTTTATACTGTATGTATGAATTATTATACTTATGCAGTAAAATGATTTTAGCACATTTAGCAAATGTATTTAAAAATTACAGATTATTACTCGGTATCATGCCTTAATTTTTCCGTGAGCACGAGTATTGTTTTCCCCATAGCACTTAGCTCAGTGCAGTGAGTACCTAGTAAAGAGCTTCATTAAGAGCTGGGTAGAAGAAATGGCTGGACGGCTGAGGGCGGTGGGAACAAGGCATGACCAGATCAGAGGCCACCTTGGCCTAACCCAGCCCCTCCTTCCTGAGCAAGTTCAAAACTAAAGAGGGAAGGGTCACTTTTGTCGTTTTAAAGATTCCTAAGAATGGAGACGCAGTATACCCCTGTTCCCGCTAGTTATTGAGTTTTAATCTGATAATTGAGAATTGTTCCTGGCTAAGATTTTATATAGAGAAAATCCTAAAGACTCATAAAAACACATTAGAACTAGTCACTTAATTCAGTAAAGGCTCAAGATACAAAATTAACATACAAAAATCAAAAATGTTTCCTACACTCTTAACAATGAGTTTTCTGAAAAAGAAACTGATCACATTTATAATAGCATCAAAAAGTAAAATACTTGTGAATAAATTTATTTTCACGAAGGAGGTGAAAGATCTCTACTCTGAAAACTACAAGACACTTATGAAAGAAATCAAAGAATAAAAATAAATGGAAGGATATTTTTTGTGTTTACGGATTAGAAGTATTAAATTTGTTAAAATGTCAATACTTTTAAAAGCCATCTGTAGAATCAGTACAATCCCATCAAAAAGTACAATGGCTTTTTTTTTTAACAGAAAATTTTTTAAAATTCTAAAATTTTCAAGAACTGCAAAAAAGACTCCTAATAGGCAAAGCAATCCTGAGAAAGACGAACAAAGCAGGAGACATCACACTGCCTGATAGCAAGCTATGCCACAAAGCTATGGTGGTCAAAACAGTATGGCACTGCTGTGGGTGGAGACGGGTATATATTATATACGTGAAATTCTAGGTATGTATCTGAAGGAAACAAAAGCACCAGCTTGAAAAGGTGTCAGCACCCCCATGTTCATTGCAGCATTATTTACAGTAGCCAAGGCATGGAAACGACCTCAGTGTCCACTGATGAATGAACAGAGAGAGAAGCTGTTGTGTACATACACAGTGGAATAATACTTGGTCATAAAAAAGGAGGAAAACCTACCGTTTGTGACATTGTGCAGAGCATGAAGGCGTGATGCTAAATGAAATAAGTCAGACAGAGAAAGACAAACACCATCCAGGCCAGGCTCCCGCTGAGGGCCCAGCTGGATACGGTGGGCGAGGGGCCATCTGGGGACTGCATGCGACTAAGCGGCGGTGTTCACTGAAGGCCGTGGGGTTTGGAGACCAGGAGGCATATACCTTGCTTTATGTGTTTTTGAAGTAGATCTTTGAAAAGCAGTACAAAATTGTACACTAACTAGTCGCTGTTATTTTTACCCTCCTTCTGATGGTAAAACTTGTGTTTTCTGTTTCTCTTGCAGAGCATGATTGAGAAGGGAGGATAAAACCAACTCCTAGAACAACCAAAACTCCTTCGACGTTAATTCCAGAGATGGAACAGTTTTTTTTCCTAGTGAGAGAGTAACCTATTTAAAGAGAAGACCGCTAAAGAGAAGTGCAGACTCGACAGAAGCACATCACAGTTTGATCAACAACGATTTGAAACGCCAAGGCTTAGACCTGGAATCAGCCATGAAGGACCCACTGAGGTGTTAATAAACCCCAAACATGATGACAAAAAGAGAAAGGCAGCCCTCTCCGCCTTTCATACTTTCTATTCAGTTTTCTCTTCTAACCGAGCTCCATCGTTCGGTGGCCTCCCCTCCAGCAAGGCTTGGGGTTGGGATCGAGGATGCAGGCATTGGAGCGGGGAGCGGAGAGGGCAGCATGCCCGTGTCTCAGGCTGGCAGTGCTGGGTGGAATTGTCCAGACTGCAGCACATTGGGTTTCTCTCTATTTCTTTTCTCCCTTGACTCTGTAAGAGCTATTTCATTATAACTTATGGCGATCATGTAAGAAGACAAAAGGGAGACGAAATGTACCTCTTTTACTGGAATAATGTTTATGTTTATCAGTGAAATAAGGCATTTTCTTTTTACCAACATAAAGGCAACCTTGGCTTGTACAACCACTTCTCTATCATGAATACTGACATCTTGACTTCACTCACTATCAATAATAAATATATTTTCTGATGAAGGCTGGTGTTGTAGCCTGGGGCCCTGTGTGTTTCTTTCCCTGAGGTGGGTGGTGATGCTTATGCACATTGCGTTGATTTATATTAGTAAGTTGCATTTGTGCTGTACCTTTCTTCTAAAGAGCTCCAAGAGCTCTACTTTGCAGAGCCTCGGCCAAGCAAGCGATACTCAGAACTTGTCTCTTGGGTAGGGAGCTGGAATTCAGTAAGATCACAGATGAACCGGCCTGCCTTTGGGATGACCTGCGCCACGCTGCCACCCGTGGTGAGAACGAGCTTAGATAACCTTGGTTATGAACTTCTGACCCTGCAGTCCATGCAAATGTTATTTAGAAAAAGTCAATCAACGTTGAGTGGTTTTCCTCTTTCCAATTTCATTAAAACTCTCTAATTATAACTCACTCTTTTTTTTTTTTTTTTTTTTTTTTTTTTTTTTTTTTTTAACCAGAGGATGGTACTTCAACCCTAGATTTTGATAAGTTGAAAATTAGTGTTCACACTGAAGCTAAATGGAAAGGCCTTTCCAGGAAGAAATGGAGGAGAAAATGCCAAAGCTTTGTGCTGTTGTCCGAATATCCTTTGTTATGTAGAATTTTTATTTTGTTACAGAGAGTAAACACTTTAGCAAAATAATTAAGAATACAGGCTTTGGCTCTGCCCGGTGTGGCTCAGTGGGTTAGGCATCCTCCAGCAAAGTGAAAGGTCATCAGCTCGACTCCCTGTCCCAGGGCACACGCCTGGGTTGCGGGTTTGGTCTCCAGTCAGGCAAGAGGCGACCAGTTGATGTTTCTCTCCCTCTCTCCCTCCCTTCCCCTCTCTCTAACAATAAATGAAATTTTTTTAAAAAGAAAAAAGAATACAGGTTTTGGAGTAAGGTGTTCAAATTGCGACTCTGCCACTTTCCCACCTGTAGGACCTAATGAAGCCACCTCACCGAACTGAACCCCTGATTTGTCAGCTGTCAGGGGGTGGTGTGGGGGTGGAAGAACCTTCTATGTAGATTGACATTCAGTCGGGTCCAGGATATGTTGTTGGTTTGTGTGATTATTCAGCAAACTGGTATTTGGGGTTGGGGTTAATTCCAGAGATGGAACATTTTTTTTCCTAGTGAGAGAGTAACCTATTTAAAGAGAAGACCGCTAAAGACTGGGAAGCTAGTTTTAAAGAATGGGAAGACTGGCCACATGCTCAGATGCCTTTTAGGGAAAGTCAGGATGAACGTCGCTGATGTTAGGAAAATTTCAATCAACCTCCGTTAAGTGTGGACCTTTCTAAATTCCTCAGTTGTCTCCATTTGATGGCATTTCCATGTACACACCTGCAGACCTGATGTTGCTGCTGAGTGACTTTGTTGACCCTCTTACCATAATTATTGAGAGGCTTTGTGATGACAGTTTAATGCAAGTTTTTGCTTCGAGGTATTTTGCTTTGTGTTTTGATGGCACAGGGTAAGCTGAGTTTGTGTGCGTGGGGAGGAAGGAAGCACTGGTCAGTGGCAGAGCTGCACGTTTGGCACCGTCAGGACGGCACCGAGGTAACTGGCCGGGCGAAGGGAGAGGTACAAAACCCATGTTTACATGGCGACCTGCAAATCAGTTAACTCACCGGTCCCCTTCTAGTCTAAATTTTGCAATTTAGAGCCAAGAACTTGGCACATCCCAGACTGCCAGGCTTGTCACTGGCCAAGCAATACAGCTCTGAAGAGCCAGGCAGCAAGAGCTGCTGAGATCCGTAACTGGGAGGGTTGTTTGTCAGGACGTGTCTCCCTCGCCTGGTTATTAATGCATCGCTCTGGTAGCCACGAGGGGTGCACGGGAGAAAGACAGCAGTCGGGGGGGAAATAAAAGGGTAAGATGATGCCTTTTTCTCCGCCTTGGGAGACCTCCCTGTGGATCGCATGATCGCGTCACAACTCTGTCCCAGTCACTGTTAACTTTATGACAATTGCATGGGAAGAATGTGCTTTTTGAGTCTCGTGGGAGTGACACGTTCCAGTCAGTTTCTCCATTAAATCGAACATACCTTCAGCCACGGTAGTTGAGCTCAGCTCATGAGGAGTAAAAGTGTCTCAAAAGCGAGGCAGATGTTAGCACACTAAACAAATGTCTGGTGAACGAGAAGACAGCTGGGTGGAACCAGAGCAAGGTCCTCTCTCTGAAAAGTCAATAACTTATTACAGAAAACTTGCCAACATGTAATGGTTTAGAAAATTATTGAGTAATCCTTATTAGGAGCAGATGTGGACCGCTAAAAGCCAAACACTGTGGCTTGCTGGTCTACCAATGAGACCTATCTCCATAGCAGCTGTAAGCGGTATTTTTGCTTAGAACTGAACACACGGCCAGATGTCCTCATCAAGTCTGCCTTAGCAGTTGGGAACCTGTGGTTCATAGCTTGATCTCTTTCAGCCCACAGGTATAATTGCTTTTTCCAGAAGCCCACAGGATAATTCTCCCTGCCCATTTCAGCTGTGGGAGCTGACTCAAGATTTAAGATTTAGATCAGTCGAACAACTGAAAAGAGTAGCAATAGCTTAACCGGGATTATTCCATCTTGAGTTAATAGACTTGAAAAGCTAATACTTGGAACGAGTTAATGTTCACTCATTCTCTGTCACAGCTCCCCTCTTCCCCCCAATTTTCCTCTTTCTTCACATCCCCCTCTCAGTCACTTCCATCTTTATCTCCTCCTCTAGCCGCCGCCTCTTTGGGTTTAGACTTTCCTCACCCTTCTCTGCCTTTCAAGCCCACCTGTGAGGTAATTAGCTCAGGTGCACGATCCTAGGCTCTTGCTCTGATGTTTGCTGCTGTTGCCTCTTGGAACAAGTCACTTCCCTCAGGTTCCTTACCACCACGTGGCCTGCTCTGGTTCTCCATTATAACAAACGATTTTTGATACTTTCTTTTCTTCCCAGTCTCCTACACTTATTGATTTAGAACTTCTTTAGTGGTTTCTTCTATTTGCAGCTCTCAATTTATAAACCAGGTAATATGGATTTTTTTTTTTTTACATTCTCTGGGAGAAAAAACTAACTTGGTATTTAGTTCTTTGTAGCCTTTTGATTGTGTTTTCCTATGGTTTATGATCCCCATTAGGGGGAAAAAAAAGTTTCCTGTCACTTGCCCCGGGGGATTTCCTCAGTGGGCCGGCTGTGTCCATTCTGAAATGTCTTCCTAGGACATGCAGCCAGTTGTGCCAGAGACCCACGATCCACACCACCCCCAGAACAGGAGACCAGGTGCTGATGCCCTGTGACCTGCCGCGGTCAAACAAGGCAGGTGCTGGTTCACTTAAGTCCACGCTTATTTTTAAATTTATTATAGACCGTTGTCTTAGCCCCTTCTCCCGCTGGGCCCTTAAAAGTGCAAAATGTGGCAGGTGCCATGGTTTAACTTTCTCCTTCCCTTGACCCGCTTAATGTCAGGGGTGCCAACAATGACAAACAATGGAAAGGGAATTAAAGGGAGGGGATAAAGATAGGTTTCTGTCATTAAGTGGAACACTGGCTCTTGGTGACTCTGGCTGTATGGAGAGAAGGGCTGGACGTCATGCCCATTAACTTCATTTTGTAGCTTCTGTCATTCCAAATCCACTAGAACATGAAGAGAAGAGTCCTTTTTAACTATTCCAGCTTAGATGGTCCAGAGCTCTATCCATTCCTTTAATCATCGCCAGCCGGCTTGATCCGGGGGACTGGGAGTAGTCAGTGACTTTTCAGGTTCAGTGAAATGGGAAACTTCAGAGCCGCCCCCCGGCCCTGCGTACCAGAGATGGACCCCCCTCCTCGTTGGAGAGCCCGGCTGGCGCATCTCTCCACATTCCTCAGTGGATGGATGATGGCAGTTTCAATGGATAAGCACCAACGATGACGTGGACTTGTTTCCCCACGTCCAGGGGGAGGGTCGCCTTGCTCATCTGACGTCCATTACACTAAGAATTTTGGCCAAAGTACCAGATAGCTTCAGGAACTTTCCATTCTGTTACCTTCCAAAACCCAGTCATTGCAACCTAGGTTTTGGAGAAAACGATCAACTACCTGATTGATCCTACATCCGGACTGATGTTTGAAGATGGTGAAATTTTGTATTTTGTGTTGTGTGTTCTTTCTCTCCTAGTGCCTCTAGCTTCCATATTGCTGGCAGACCCCTTAAAAAAAAAGAGTTGAATTACTTTAGGGGAGACCACCAAACTAACCATTCAACTCAAAAGCATATTCTACTTTTCCTATCAGTCGTCTGGAACCTTCCAAAGAGACCCACAACCTTCTGAGCCTGTGATAACATGCCCTGTACAGTAGGGGACAGTCCAGTGTTAAACCCAATTTAGGTTCAGATAACATGGTTACCATGTTTATGCCTTTCAGTTAAAGGAAGGTGAAAACTGAAGCTATTGCATTCAGTCCCTGAAACTCCCTCAAACCAAGTCTACTCTACCTGCAAAACAGTTGCGCCTCAATGGAAGGAAATGCTTCAAACCTCTTGAGGTGAGTTTGACTGGGTGAGGCCTCCCTGCCCTTCAAAGATGTTTCCACGCAGCAAAGCTTCACTTCCCTCACCTCTGTGGCCCCTCCACCGCAGCCTCCCCTCTGCCTCTCCAGGACGGTCCTTACTGGGCTATGGTCATTGTGATGTTGCTGAGAGGTCAGTCTGCTTTGAATAGAACCCTGCCTGCAAAGCAGCTAACATTTCTATAATGGCTTTTACATGCAAATGTGGACGCCCCACAGAGGTCAGTGGCCAAGTGGCAGGGTGCCTCTCTGCTCTGGCCACGCCTCTCCTTTCGGGACTCAGTCACAGCCCAGGAGTGGTCGGGCTGGGCTAGAAAGCGACCCATTTCGGGGAAAGCCTCCCCTGGCGCCCTTTTCCATTGGGTCTATCCACCAGCCAGGCCACTGCAGGACCCTCGTCAGAGCCCACAGCGTGGTGCGAAGCCCGGGCTCCCCGTCCATCCCTGTCGAATATATAAAATAGGGGCCGAGGGCCATGGCTTATTGTCTGCTGCCTG